TTGAAAGAAACAAATAAAAGGGAGAGAGAGAGGGAAAAACACACACTTGTACAACACACACACACATACAAAATCAATTTATTTCTGGTTGAATGAATGATTTAAGAAATAACAGAGAGGGGGGGGGAGAAGATGACAAGAAAAAATAAAACTGGAAATGAAACTAAACAACTTTTTTTTTAAAAAAAAAACAGAGGGTTCAATCTAATAGCAGGTAATTACTGTGTACAATTAGAAGAATAACAAGCGACAGTAATAACGAAATTTTAATCAACACTATACTAAGGTAGGCGGTAATATGAAAACAAAACACAAAATGGCATTACATAATATACGCATCAAAAAAAAACCTAACCTAACCCTAACCCTGTCGTCTGAGTAGAATAAAAAGAAGAGAATTCCGTAAGAAAACACCACAAAGTAGAAGAATAGTTGAATTTGAGAAAATATATATATTTAACAACAAGTGTCAATCAATGTAAAGAAGCGCAGAATAAATAACAACTCTAAACACTTACAGATCAGAGAGAGAGAGAGAGGCAGAGAGAGACAGATAAAAATAAACGATAAAAGCAAATGACAAAGTTGATCGGTTGAATTGGGAACAAACAAAAAAAAAATACCTATTCCTCCTTATTGAAAATAAATAAATTAATTAATTAATTAAATAAATAAATCTCACATGTAAAGCAAATTGATAACAACAGATAATAATAATAATCAAGTCAAAACAAATAGGGTAGGTAAGCTAACTTCGCCTCTTCTCCTATCCTACCCTAGCCCCCGCACATCAAAAAACAAACAAAGAATATATATAAAGAGGCAAATAAATAAATCATCAATATTGCTAAAAGAAATCTGAACGAAAAAAAAAGAGAAAACAATTAATTAGCTGTTGTTGTGCTAAATTTCAAATTTGTTGTCCAAGATACACTATACACTACACTACCCTACACTGCACTACATTACACCACACTTTCTTTCTATAACTACTTATCGTTAATTATTGCAACTGAAAGTAAAGTAACGAATAAAAAAGGCATAATAATAACTTTTTTTTTATAGAAAATCAATACATGCACATACACTGTGTATGCAGATGGAAAAAAACAAAACTTTATTCATAATGAAATGTAAAGAGTATAAAAGCTAAAAGAGTTGACGAATGGACTAATCGAACCGCATTCACTCACCCCCCGCACACACACACACACACACAAAAGAGAAGCACACTTTGATAATGTTAGGACTCTGAATGATTATCATTAATAACGATATCATCAATAACACGAACAAGAAAACAGCCACAAATATAATAATGATGTCTATAAATAGAAAATCATTTCGTGGACAAAGTAAATGATGGATGTGGTTTAAATTTTGCCTTTCAGTCTCTTCTTTATGGATTATTATTATGATTACTGTTTATTAAATAGTTTCTGCTGAATGAACAACAACACATTCATTCCTATTGTGTTGTTATACAAAAACACATATTACACGTATTCATTTTTTTTACAACACATTAAGGTGATAAGAAAAAAAAAGAAGTTATTTTAACAATTGTTTCATTTCTCTTCTGTTCCGCTCTTGATTCAAATCACGTGACATAGATCATTTCAGGGGGGGGAAACAAAACCAAAACAAAAGGAGCTGGGGGGGAGAAAAAATAGATTTCTACGAGATGATGTGAATATATAAATATATTAATACAACATAAATTAAACATGATAGTACTACTATTGATGATGATAATGATGATGAATTCTAGAAAGAAAGCTGTAAGAATTTTTAAAGACAGACAAAATACACCTGAGTAATTGAAAAAAAAACAAACAGAGCAGCATATGATATACATTCGGAGGAACATACATAACACAACTGACTGGTGATGATGATAAGCAGAGACAATTGAAACATTACAATGAACCAAAAGTAGTAACACTATACTACATAAACACATGTATAGAAGAAACCAGAATATGTAGAAATAACAAGAGTAGTGAAATGTTGATTACAAAAAAAGGAAAAGAAAATAACAGCTTTATGAAGACGATAATAATAGTCGGCAAACAAATCAAGAGAAATTTGACAATATGAAAGACTCATTGTGAACTCTTTAATGGCAATGAATGAATGTGAATGAATGAATGATTAATTAAAGAAAATTGAAGATACAATCAATGTAAACTGAATGAATGATGAATAGACAATAAAATAGTCAATGGTTATGCGAACTGGAGCGTGGGGGTGGGGGACAGAGGAGGAAGGAATAACGATAGAAACTAAAAAAAAACAACAACTTCTAAACAATTAATTAATTAATTACACAGAGAGAACATAGAAAAAAAGAACAAAGAGAAATACTCCTAATTATTTTATCATGTGTATAAGCGTTCATCATCATCATCATCATTATCACTCACCGCACATCAATAGTTCATCTCTGGATGAATTTTTACAACGATAAAAGAGAGAGAAAAAAAGTAGAAATAAAATAGATAGATAGAAAGAATAACTTTTTTTCTCTCTAGAAGGCAAATTTTTTTAAAATAAAAGAAAAGAAATCTGGAGTTTTTTTAATAATAATAATAATAATAATAATAATAATAATCTCATTTCAATTAAATACACACATAATGAATATGTGATGATAATGCTGTGAAACTGTTGCACAGAGAATAAGAATAACATAAGTAAAAACAGAAAGAGACAAGCAAGCGTATTAGTATTGTATTACATTTTGAACTCTTTTTTAAGTTAGTGAATAACTAACTGTATGATTTAAAATAACTAGAATTTCTATTTTTAGTTAGTTACTAAACGAACAAACCAACAATCAATCAAAACAGAACAGAACAGAATGAATGAATGAATTAAAGAATATTTCATAACATGATAGTTGTTGCATGTCTTTTTATGTATATAATAAAATAAAAGGCTAGTTAGTAATAATATTATTATTAACATTATTTCTAGTGATAATATCACATAATCATTATTGATAATTTGTATTACAACATATAAGAGGGGGTGGTGGTAAACAGGGAGAAAATAATAATGATAATAATAATAGCAATAATAAGCATCTTGTGAAATGTAGGATTCAGAAAAAAAACATAAAACCAATGGGACAATAGTACAGCAACAAAATACAATCGGCATACATAGTGAGTGAGTGACAATAAATGAACAATAAATAGCCTAGGAAAAAACAAACATAATTTCACTGTGTGTGTGTGGGGGGGAGGGGGCATGTTTGTAAAAAAAGAAAAAAAGCAAACTCAAAGAAGATTGAATAAAACAAGTAGAAAAACGAGAAAAAACACACTATTAATAATAGTAGTGATAATGAATATCTCTAGATCATTTTTTTTGGCGCTACTAAAAATCTATCATTTTATTTTTTTTCTGATGATAACATATACATACATACACACATATATTTAAAAAAAAGTATCTTCTCGCGTCTTCGAATTCAAACAACAATAGTAATAATAGTAATAATAATAATGATATAAACACATAAATGATAAGAAATATGTATACGTAAGACATTGAAAATATAGCTCTCTCTGTCTCTCTCTCTCTCTCTAAGTAAGTAAGTAAGTAGGCAATATGACATTATTATTGATAAAATAGGCTTTTGGCAGCGTTGGCGGCGGCAGTTAGTTAGTTAGTTATATAACACATCAATTCAACTCACTTCTCAATACTGTTTGTTGATGTGCTGCTGACACACAACAACCTTCCATATCCATTTTGCAAAAAAAAAAAAACAAACTAAAAACACAGATCTGAATGAACGAAAAAAGGTAGTGAATGAATAATAATAGCATATGAAAATTGATAGTACGAAAAATTCCCGTCAACAACAAAATTCCAGCACTACTAGTGTGAATATAGTAAGTTTACAAAACAGAAGAACAGAAAAAAATTAGAAACGATCATTTAAGGGCGCGCGCGGGCATGCGTGTTGTGTGTACTGGTAAGTTTGTTGTATTAGCAATTCATTCATCATCAATAAATATATTAATTACACATAACTAAAGACTATTTGTATACAATCTACTCACAAGAGGATGAACCATATCTGTTCTGTTAGCTTGTTCGATTCTAATCATAATGGGAAGGAAGTGAATATAAGAATCCGCCTTTTCCTTCCTTCCTTTCTTCATACTCCTATTTTAATCATTTCCATGATTACATCATAAATGAAACACACACACTACTGAATAATAATACTACTGCTAAAAATTGAAGATAAAAAAAGAAGAAACTTTCAATGTATGATTGACGACGACAAGGAAGTAAAACTGTCAGCCGTAACACATGCGCGCACACACACACACAGACGCAGACAGACACAGACGCATATACACCATCATGAAATCTAATAATAATAATAATAGTAATAATAGTAATGAGAAAAATATTGTTACACAAAATGAATGAATTGTTGGCCTGGTTAATAATTGAACTGAATTGAATTGAATTGAAAACTATACGTGTGTATGTGTGTGTGTGTAAGTGTAAGTGTCAGTTTATTGTTCATGAGACTAATAATAAGATGATGTTAGTAGTAATAATAATAATATACGTCACATCAGATAGACACCTAAATAATGTGAGTATGAATATGTGATCAATAATAATAGTAATAATTAATTAATTTTTTATAATGGAATATTTCAACTAAGGATGAATAATTGAGAATAAAAAAAAACCAAAAAACACATTGAGAAATAGAAATCTTGTTTTTTTTAATAAATCTGAATCTGGTATATATATATATATTAATAAAACTATATGTATAATTTAATTCTCTTTTCTTATTTTATCTTGTTTATTGATTGATTGATTGATTGATTGTTTCTCTTTTCAATATCATATATAAATGATTCTCCGAAACAAAAAAATATATATTTCATCTTTATATTCTATCTAATAAGATGAATGAATTATATGATCGTTACATAATAATAGTCGTAGTCGTAGTAGGACAGCGGCGGTCTTAGAAAAAGAAAAAACAAGCTTGAGAATGATGCAATCTCATATGAATAAACATCTAAACAGATTGTTTTTCATCAGTTTCCAGTTTAGATGTAGTAGACAACGACGAACTGGATAAACAGCAACAGTGGTTATTATTATTATTATTCACATTATCATTGTTATCTTGTAATTGATCAGCTACAGTGGAATTCTGCGCTAACGTACTACTAGTATTGATAGAAGTAGAAGTAGGAATAGGTGTAACAGTAGTTGAACTTATTATTATTGTATTTAACCAAAATGGATCTTTCTCAACATTTGTCATTTCACTGGTTGTTACAATAGATTCTTCTTCAAATGTAGTAGTGGTAGTAGTAGTAGTAGGAGTAGTAGTAGTAATATTAGATAATGTTGTCATCGGTTCAGAAACAGTAGTAGTAGTAGTAGTAGTAGTGGTAGTTGTGATAGTCGATGCATCGAAGCTTAGAGAATGATGTGTTAGCAATAATTCTCCTGTATTATTTTCGTCTATTTGTTGATCTAAATCACAAGATTCTTGATTGGATAATGATAGTAGACCTGATGCAGAGAATAAATCATCATCATCAGAATCACTATGTACAGCTTGACTATCACCAGCACCAGTACCAGTACCGGTGAATGATAATAAGGAAGGATTATTGAATGATTCTTTAAGTTTATGCATAGATGCTTCATCATGATGTTGTTGTATACCATCTGTATCATAATCATTGTTTGGTAAATTCCAATTTCGAAACTAAAATTAAATAGGGAAAATTGTAGAATGTAGACGAATTAAATATCATGAGATAAAATAGGGAAAAACAAATTTGTCTATAATAGGGAAGTAATAATATTCAATATCCATAGAGAAAAAGACAGGAAATTAAGGGTTTGTAGGAAAAATTGCTTGTACACAAACATGTGTTATTGCATATTAAACTTCGTGGACAAGACAAACAGACGAAAGTGTAGTGAGTCAAATTTTTCTAGAACTGACTATCTGACTTATATCACATTTATAGAATACTAGTTATTACTACTGAAAAAGTCCAAGCCTAACCACAATCTACCTAAGTAGGTAGTGGTGGTGTTAAAGTATGTAAAGAAAGTCAGTCAGTTGCAACGCAGAACTTCGTACGTGTGTACATAAGTTCATGTTGCCATACCACATCAGCACAGAGATGCAAATGTTAAATCAAATCCCATAGTGATAAAGATAGTAGAGGTATTAATGATAATGAAGAAGACGTGGGTTCGAAGATATTATTCAAGAAGTACAATTCAGTGAGATAAGGTTAGAGAGACGATTCTAGAAGATTAGGATTTGAGAGAGCACAACGAATGGATGCACTTGCGCCATTGCAAACGATTTTGAGCCATGTCATTCAAAGTCCCTAACCATTGGTGACATTCGTCTCGCGGACCCCAACCAGGTAGCCTACATCTACCAACATGACTCAGTCCACTAGTCAGTGACTGACATGTTTTGGTCTGGCCACCCCTAGCTTTCTTCCAATCTACTCCTACACCACAAAACATAGCTCGTCGAGGCAGTCGGTGGTTAGCCATTCGTAACACATGTCCCAACCACCTCAACTGATGAGGTTTTAATACTTCATCTATTGATCTGCCATCCTTACCTAGTACGCGTTTCCTAACGATTAGGAAAGTCAAGGAGTGATCAAACCAAAATATAACATAACATTTTCACCCGTCCGTCTAAACTATGTTGATGTTGGTGTGAACTACCCCTACCTACCTAGTTAGTATTTCAATAACTTGAGATACTGTTGGAAACTACGGAGTGTTGTGAAGATATTTGGTCCTAGTATAAAATTCCATAGCTGTTTTTGTTTTCTAAAATATTATAACGAATAAAAGCAATCTGAGACGAATGAATGACGCTGACAAAATGTAGAATCTTCTAACCAGCCTAAGCAACAATGCAAGCATGTTCGGGATGCGGTTTTCCCCCTAGAAATGCAAAATGTTGCTTCAAGACTGGGTTTCATCGGCACCTGAACTAGTGGTAGGGAGTGAAGTAGTCGAGCGTGTAGACTGCTTCACTTATCTTGGCAGTCTCATCAGTGCTGATGGCCTGGTGACTGACGAAATCTCAGCTCGGATACAGAAAGCTCGATTGGCCAAACCAAAACATAGCAAAAATCCATGAAGTCATTGACAAGTGGACTGATCCATGTCGGTAGTTGTCGACTACCTGGTTGGGGTCCGCGAGATGATTATAATCGATGGTTAGAGACCTTGAATGACATGGCTCAAAATCGTTTGCAATGTCTCTGGTGCATTTATTCTTTATGTTCTCTCAAATCCTAATCTTCTAGATTCTTCAAGACCTCTAGTTTTGACTTTCTAAACTTTTCTCACTGAATCATACTTCTTGAATAATATCTTCTAACCCTAACCTCTCCGATTACTTCTAATACCTTTACTACCTCTACTACTACTGGATTTGAATTGACAATTACATCTCTGTGCTAATGTGGTATGGCAACATGAACTGATGTACTTACACGTACAAAGTTCTACGTTGCATCTGAGTGACTGACTGACTGACTGAGACGAATGAATACTATCTACAAAAAAAAACAACTGAACAATTAATTACATAAAAAAAAATATTAAGGCGACTAAAACATTAAGTTCATGTGAAGAAAAAAGCGGAGCTAATCTGTTGGATATATTTTTTTTAAATCTACATTATTAAAATCAGGGTATATATGTAGAGTATAAATTAAATGAATAACTTGAAATCTTACTAGACAAATAAGAAGAGGGAGATTATATATATATAAAAACTAAGTTGGTTGGAATAATGCATATAATTATAGCATTTTTACTTTTTATACACACAGAAAAAAACATACAGAATGAACAAAGTAAAACTATAACGTAATATTCCTCCTCCTCCTCCCCTCTCTCACTCTCACTCTCACTCTACGTAACATAGGAAGAGGACGACGAGGAGAGAGTATATAAAACAGCACCACGTGAACGAATGGAATATAAACAAAGCAAAACATGTGCAATGTATTTATGAAAAAAATATGAAGAGAAAAAAAGGATTAAAATATTTTTTTTTAAAAAAGTATTTAACTATGTTGTTGCTGTTTCTATGTGAACTTTTTTTTATTATCTCTCCCTTAGATCTATTCGTAAAAACAAGGTAGGGGGAAAGAATAAAAAGTCATGTGTAACACAATAAAAGTGATTTATACTACTATACTGGTATTATTATTATTATTACTATTATCGCATACACAAACAAGATTATGCAACATTATAATAGGCATACCCCCACAAATTAAACTAATTCAGACGAGTGTGTACGTAATAATAGTACAATAGTACAATAGTAATACAACTAACTAACTAACTAGAGAGAATAGCAGTAGTATTACTACTAATGTAGTGAACGAGAACACAGGTGGGGTAACCGGACTGTATTCAGCGATAATTACAGAGTTACTCAGTAAAATCGGAAAAACCATATCGTAAATCGTTAATTTGCAAAATATCAGTCCATCATATCGAACTGGACTGTTCCTGTCTTCGTAGGTTATCAGCGTTTGATTTTAAAGGTCGTAAATGCATTGCTTGTGTAAGCTGGAATTATAAAATTACCAATATCATGGTTAACCGTAATGTATGAGGTGAAGATGGGGGGGGTCGTCAGTTAATGAATCTTCATCGACACTCAGGTGGTTGGGATGTGTTACATATTCCTAACTACTGTCTATCTATAACATGTGTTATGTAGATTGTGGATGTCCAAAACTAGTTTATGTAAGAGTAGGTCGGAAGAAATTACAGAGGCCCAAACCAAAACGTAGCATTAGTTTCCGAAGTCACTGGATGGTGAGCCGGACGTCAGGTATTAAGAAACCTGAAAGTCCTCAGTTTGATCCCTGGTGAGTACATATTACATAGGAGTACCATATTAAGACAGAACGGTTATCCAGAATCCCCCGGTTATCAATAGTATCCAAGAGACACTGACAAAGAAAAATAACTTGTTTCATTTAGACAAAAAAAAACAAACCTGCATTCCTGATTTCATTCTGGAAATATCATCTAACGTATGAATATCATTATTATGACTATTCAAAAGTGCTGATACAAGTGGATTAGCAAACAGTGCTGCTAGTGCTTCTTGTTGTTGTAAAGGATTTTGACTAATTGAATCCACAGGACCAATTGGGCTAGGACATTTCCCAGGTGAAGTTTGCATACATGTTTTAAATTTCTCACATGGATTTGATTCTGACGATAAACTTTGAGCATAACAACAACCGGTACTTGGTTCACTACTTATATTATTAATTTCTGTATCAATAAATAATGGTTTGAATAAATCAGTTGAAGTTGACGGGGATATATTCAATGAATGAAATAAACGACGAATTACACCAAGTGAATCACGTAAATGTTCTGTGACGAAATCTCTTTGCTTTTTCAACACTTCCACTTCACCTTCCTTCTACAAATTAAAATTTTAGATAATTTAAAATTATCAATAGTAATATATAGGTAGAATAGTATGATGTATATAAGCAGATGAAATGTTGTTACACGATTTCAGTTCGTAGACGGCAAAAATAGTTCACCATTGATAGAGAGAGAGAGAGCTCGAGTTGTTTAGTTTACGATGAAAACTGTCAATAGCCACTCATACTTCTGAGACGGAGATTTATAGGTCAGGTGGATTATTCTGGTAGAGTGTTGTTTTCTCAGTTGGATGGTTTGACAATGAAGCTTTCATTGTTCTTTCGAATGGAAACATTAGAATAAACGTTTAGTTTAATTAGTTCGCCATATTGTGCGACCAATGAAGTTCGATATATACAGTGAATTTCTGCTTTGTTAACTAGAAATTAAGTGTTGCGAGACAAAAGTTTCGAGTTTAATTCCCGGTTGTGAGGTCTTGGATGCGCACCGTCATTGAAGAGTTCTATACTAGGATGAAACAACTGGACAATACACCCAGGTTTCAAATAGTTGACTTACTTAGTTCAGTTAACAATCTCAATTACATTCAACAAACAGTCTCCACAACTTTCAAACATAAGAAGTAAAGTCATTCATTTAATGGCCATATGATAAATGCTTGTATACCGCTGAAAGCATAGATTCTACTGTGTGTTCGCAGGTGAGCGTATGTAAAGAAGAAAATCATATTTGCTAGCATCTATCACTTTTTTTCGAATGTCATATATTACAGCAAGGATGAGCAATAGAAAAGATCACGAACTTTATATATAAATGGAAAAACTTACTGATTTAATTACATATGATATTTATCTTAGTTTATTGAAAGATAAAATGAGTATTTTCTCGACTGGAAATTTAATTCGCCAAAACTTAGATTAGTAAATGTGAACACTGACAAAAAGTATAAAATACATGAGACATCAGTACTGTGTGATGTAAAATAACTTACCGAATCTAAAAGTTGCTTTACTTCATCTAATTCACGACGTAAAGTTAAACGTTCTAGATCACAACCTGGATTACTGAATGGTGACGATAGAAGAATGGGTGATTGTGGTAAATTTGTAAAATTCTCATTTATTGAATGCGAGAAAATCCTAGAACTTGTTTGAGTTCTACCAACATCTACTTGATTGGGAGACGAAGTTGAAGACATATTTGGAATACCACCCTGAGTTGAATATTCTGAATATGGTTGCGATCTAGTTGAGTGGCTGGTGTCAGGATGGTCTGTGGATTCCGATGTCTGCATTTGAAAATTGTAATTTCATTACATAGTTCAATATTGGGTTTTGAAATATGATAAAAATGCAAACAATTATATAATAATCAATTTAACTAAATTAACACAATCAAGATCAAATGGAACATTAAAAGCCATGTGAGACAGTATGACTTTTAATCACAAGGTTGTAGACTCTATTCCTGCTCCACCTGCTTGGGTAAGGCTACCGGATAATATCACAAGTTCTTACAGGTAATTAAACCTGAATTACCACTGCTTAACAGACTAACCAAGTAGGGTGCCAGATACACACAAGAGGCAGAAACTAAGCGAATTTAAAAAATAGTTATCAAGAAAATTAGATAATATATATAGCAAAGATTACTGAATATCCAAACAGGAATGGAGAGTAACACATCCGAAAGCTGATCTAGTAATTGATCATCACATCCTTATTTTAGATAAGTCGACTTCAAAACAGTATATAGAGCAGTTTTAATATTTCATGGATCTAAGAGAATTTTGCCACAGATACACAACCTAACTGAACCAAGTACATCCTAGCATTGGCAGCTATATAAGCCTCAGAGTTTAATATTGAAAAACTCAGATTATTAAATTATTTGTTTTTCACAAAATATATGTTCAAAACTATAAGAATTTATTCATTAAGCTCTTAATGAAACCAACCACAATTATTCTAATATTAATAATCATTCGATAGAATCTCGGCATTAGCTTTCTTTGCCTTTTTTTTAGATAGTATATCCACCGAGATCGATAAAGTCAACGTAAATCGATTGATCAACATTTTAAAGTGCATTATTAACATGTCTCCTTTTACCAGTTTGTCTATCACTTGCAACGCATTGAATAGACCAATCAAATTCTAGTATTTTAGATTAAAACGGACAGTGAAGGTCAATGAACGTAATAATAATAATAATAACGAAACAAAATGACCTTCAAACGCTAGATCACATGACCAATCTGTTATTATTATTATTATTATCACTAGGATGAAAATAACAACAGCGATAATAATAATAATAATCATAATAATTGTGATCAATTCCGTTAAGGATGAGAAAAATAAAATGATTTCAACTAAAATAAAATATTCATACTTTTTTTTATTCAGATATATAGAGATGGATGATGGGATAGGTGTGTATTTATGAATAAGAAAAAGGAATCTATTATGTGTATCCGGAGTTTAGAGAAAAAAAATATGAAGACGTATTATATATTATGTTAGTTAAATACATTTTAGTGGTTTTAAAATAATCAATAATAACGATAGGCATATGTATAAATATTAAGGTGAAAAATAAGAAAAAATGTACTGTGATCTAATTTAACCAAGTTATTTTAGTAGGAAAGATAGTAACAATTATTGTAATTCACACAACTTTAATCCTCCATTAAAATGAATGTTTGAGTATGTATTTGGTTGTTAAATGACTGAAAACAAATAAATGAGCTTCAGAGAGAAAGAATGCTGGCTTGACTGATAAAATAATTATTTTGCAAACATTCATTAAGATTTCAATGAACGATCTCACAAAGAAATTGAAGATCAAGTAAGGTAGAAAGTATTAAATATGAAATAAGCATTTTCAGGTGGAATGCTAGAATTGTTTATATTTCAATTTCCGCTATTACAACAAACATAGTTTTCGGTACATGGTTGAGTTTGATTGCGATCACGAACCGATCAATGTTAGACAACCATTGAAAACTTGGAAGCATTGGATGGGACTAGGATTTGGACGAAACGGCCGTCCAAAGCTTTCAGGTTTCCAATGATAGTCAAACACTGCTCAGTTCATGATTACAACGAAATATAGTCTTAAATTTGCTTAATGCTTTTGAAAAACAGGTAGATATCACCAACATAAGATTTAGGACGGATGTGCGTTGATCCAAGCAAGTTATTATGCCTGATTAGCATGATACAATGCAAACACCGAAATAGATGGAAATAATGTAGCAGTAATGACTTCATGGACTGGTGGTGCTGAGTTTTGATTTGATTGTCCTTATCTTTCTTCCAGCCTACTTCTACACTAGGAAGAACTGCTCGTCAAGGTAGTTTGTGGTTCAGTATACGTAACATTTATCCTAAAGACCTCAATCGATGAAGATTCACTAACTGATCAACTGATTTACCATTTTTACCAAGTTTTTTTGTACTTGACTCAACCTCATCTTTGCTCACTCGATCATTCTACGAAATGTGAGTGATACTACGAAGAAAATTATGATCAAAAATCATAGGGCTACGCAAGTTTTCTATTTTCATAACTTGATGTTTAGAAATACGCATTTTTAACAAAGCATTTGTCATTAGAGTATAAAACGGTCATAGGTACATGGTTACGTTAGTACGTGTGACTAGTGACATTTCAGTAAACTTCATTTTATACTAGGGTTTTAGTAAGTGGTCATGATATATCATCAGAACAAAGAAGTGATAACTTACAGAACTGACTTGTCAGTTATTACCACTTGACATGTATTCTTATTGTATAATTACCGGGATTATCGAATTAACTCATTCACCAAGTATTCGGATATGAACCACATTATCAGTGTGAGTGTAAATAGTGCTTGCTATGCAATTGCCTAAACTAGAGTTGGTAAAGAGGGGTTCGGAGCCACGGACTTAGTGGTTGAAAGTCGAACATCATAAGCATTAAACTACTGCCTCACTAATAAACACGAACAATCACATCTATGTTAATTTTATATGTTACGGAACTAATTAAAGACGCCCAAATCATTTGAAGGTGAGCTACCCATGGATTAGGAAAGAACCTTGAAAGGTCAATTATTGACATGATAAGCGGTTAGCATATTGTGATAATTAAACAAAAACAAGATAAGTTGCACTACTACTATTACTGTGGTGCGCGCTACTTATAAGTAGTATATGACGCGAGTGTAAACGTAATGTCTGGCAGCAGAAGATGGGGGAAGATCAAGAAAGGAAGAGTGGGAACATAATGGAGTTTGTATGAAACGCATGAATAAGTGAAATGTCAGACAATGGATTGATGATGGATTGAGATTTGCAAATTAACGATTTATGATATGGTTTACCTATTTTACTGAGTAACTCTGTAATTTTCGTTAAATACAATTCGGTTGCCCTCACCTGTGTTCTCCTTCACTACACTACTACTCATTTGACCTCGATAAATGGATTCAAAATAATTAATCATTTAGTCATAAGAAACGTAGAACTTGGTCTAAGTATGGATCAGTTTAAGTTATTACACTAAATCAACACAGAGAGATGAACTTAACAAAATAAGTGCCAGAGAAGTAAAAGTAGTAACAGTATCAGTGATAGTAGGAAACACTAGGTACAGGAATCTTATTCTCGAAGAGACAATAAACTCATGGAATAGAAAAGAAATACAGTGTATACATCGGCGTTGCTGCGGTGGATTCCAAACTATGTCACTCAACATCTTCAACCACTAGTTACAATGATAATGCGGACCACCTCAACCCCAGATATTCTGAAACTAGCCTAGTTCAATCTAACAGTCGATAGAAAAACATGAACTGAGAGCACGTCTAGATTTGATCGTCATTAGTTTTTCTCAATCAACCTAATCAATCAGTAAACATTCCGTGTTGAGCCAAAAAAAAAGATAAGTGAGTATAAGTAATAAATACTTCAACTACTTTGTTGAATGAAAAATTCCCAATTTTCTCAACAAATTCGATATATTTTAAATAGCCCTATGAGTTTAACCGAAATTATAATCTAGTTAGAAAAATAATAGTAAAATATCACAAAAAGAAGAACTAACCAATGAATAGTGATGAACACGGGAACCAATAGCACCAAATGATATAGCACTAGTAGAACCACTACTACTAGCACTACTAGCTAAACTGGATACGTTTAGATCAACTTCTGCAACCGACGAAATAGGATGATTTGTACGTCCAAGAGGTGTACCAACGATTGATGAAAATCGATTATTATTATTATTATTATTATTAATATTTAATGAAACTGGAGACGATAACGGAGAACTATGTCGATGATGTCCAGATCCATCAATAAAACTTGAAGGCCAACCTTTGATACGTTGATTTGATTTAATCAAATTACCAGATCGAATAAGATTACTATCATCAGTTTGTTGCAGTAAATTAGTCGATTGTATTGAAGTAAATCGTGATAAATTATTATTATTATTATCTGATTGACAACAAGTGATAGGAGGATCTAAGAATCCAGAATGTATTTGTAAACTTTTAAGATCTTTATAATAATTATTGTTATTGTTATTTCCTACTACTCTACCCGGTATACTAACTGGATTAGATGAATAAAAATTTGGCAATGATGAACAGTCATCAACACCACTACTATTTGAGGTAACAATAACTGAAAATGAAGAAGAATGAGGATGATGATGATGATCTTGATCTTGATCTTCAGAAATAGAATGTGTCGAAAGAAAACTATCATCAGAAAGTGAATGAAAAACTATATTATCTTCAGAAAATCTTGGATTCACCACTGTATGCGTAATATCATCGAATAGAGCAGCAGTCGCAGAAACATCAGAAGTAGTAAATGAAGGAGTATATTGTTGTTGTTGTTGTGATTGTGTCAGCTGAGATAATAGATCAGTATCGAGATTATTGTTAAAAACTCCACCACAATCTAGAAAGAAAATAAGGGAAATAAATAAATATATACACAAAAATGTGGCTATGATCATCAGTTATTGTTAAATGTTCAGATAAAGGATGAAGCCGTGGATTTCAGTCGCATCCACCCAACTGATGGATGCTCGAAAACGCATCCCACCTGACTCTGAGCATGATGAAGAGCGTAGTCAGCTTAGGCGCAGACTTATAAAAGTGGTGGGTGGCGAAAGCAAAAGCGATGGAAAAGGCAGCAGCGATAGGCAACACTAGACAACTTTTCCGCCTTATTAAAGAAACTGGTATTAAGAACCCGAATGTGAGTGAGACTATCTCGGAAAAGGATGGGATTATTATCCATTCTCAATCCAGGAGACTGGATCGATGGGCAGAACACTTTAGAGATCAGTTCAACTGGCCACGAGCCACTCTTCGGTTACCCACGATCTCCAGTCATCCTGAATGGCAAGTCGACCTAAGCCCCCCTAGTCTTAATGACGTTGAGAAAGCGTTAGGAAATATGAAACGAGGACGAGCTGCAGGTCCTGATAGACTGACGCCTGAGATATTTAAGGATGGTGGTCCAGTTTTAGCAGCTAGGTTGACTGAGATCTTAGGTAGAATCTGGGAACTGGACGCAATCCCATCCGACTGGTCTCAACCACTGATTGTCCCAATCTATAAGAAAGGACAAAAGTCCTCTTGTGACAATCACAGGGGAATAAGTCTAACTAATATAGTACCTAAAATATTGGCCTCAGTAATACTTCGACGCTTAACGAAAGCTCGTGAAGAGCAGACTCGAGAAAACCAGGCTGGTTTGCGACCTGGACGTGGCTGTATAGACCACGTCTTCACACTCAGACAGGTCCTGGAACATAGACACACATTTAGGCGTCCTACAATAGTTGTTTTTCTAGACCTTAAGGCGGCATTTGACTCAGTGGATTATTATCATCTCGCGGACCCCAACCAGGTAGTCGACAATTACCGACATGGCTAAGTCCACACGTCAATGACTTCATGGATTTCGTAAACAACTCTGATCATGTTCATTCACTCCGAGAAATAAGAAAAAAATAGAAGGACTGTTACATCTTATACTACTTACGTTAACCGTAGCCGTCACTTTTTGAAACTCAATCCTTTTAAAGGTAGGTAGGTTCCGGATATTCAGAAGTCATTCTAGAAGCATCATTATCCAACAAGATAGTACATTCAAACCGAGATTTAAGATCACTTATCTTTTTTTGAATACCTCTAAACGTTCTATCAGCTGTGGTTTTGGGTCACCCTTATGTAACGCCACTGTTTAAAACTCGTATATTGATGCACGATAGCAAGGGGGATTAGCTATAATAAGAGTGCTGTACCGACTCTGTTCTCAGTGTAACTGAATCAGTATAAAAATACACTTCACTGAGAATTCTGTGGAAGTTCTTCTTTTTCTACACTCATTCTGACATTTAAGACCGCTGCCGCCGTCTTCAATCGCGATATAGTGGTTCGTTTGATTTGGACTATTCCATACTTACTACATGACATAACATAACACAATACGGTGACTATTATGGATATCTGACCAGAGCGTAAGCAACCGCTCCGTAATAATCACTGTAAATAAACAGGTGTTAGAAAGTTGTAGGGTTGTAGTTTTAAATCCCTTGTCAACACTCATCCAAACAAGAGATCAATGAGAGCAGATTATACATACTATAAACAGAGTATAATTGTGTACATCAGTGGAATTTAAAAAGCAATCGGGACTGATATTCAAATAGTTGGTAAAAGTTAAGGTTTCCATTACCGAAAGTTTTTAATTAAACAACTATTGATAACATAAAGGCAATGGCCAGCCAGCTGTTTGGCCATTGTATGGAACTCTACTTCAGTGTGTATTCTGGATCCTACCATCACGAGGGATCGAACCCAGGACCTTTAAACCTCACGTAGTGCTCGATCACTAGACCACTGAACCAGGATTCAATGAACTACTTATTTAGCCTTAATTTAATGATAGTGTGGTAAAATCTAACCAGGGTACGTTTGATTTACAATAAGTACAGTTCAGATCTTGAGTATTTACAACGGTACTTTAAATGGTACTAGCCTAAAATTAAAAACTATTCAATTAAAAATAACTAGTCTCTATGTTTAGGGCCTCCAAATGCTCCAATACGGCAGGGAGTGGGAAGATGCATGTATAGCCACCGTCAGGAAAGTCCTACAGATTGTTTTTTTGGGGCAGGGGTGTTTTTAACGAAATTTAGAGGACGGAAAGCGGATTTCCAGTGTTCGAGTCAGGTTCGTGGGTACAGAGGATGCACCTAGGGGTTAGACAGCTCTGATTTAAAACCAATTTTGAATACGGGCTCCAGGATTCTGAGGAGACAAATGGTATGTGAACATACTATTGGTCGTCAGTTACCATGGAACTGCATCTGCCAATATTGCTTCGTTGTCCTGTAATTTAGATGTGTAGGTCAAAGGCCTGGGAAGTGAGCACCCAAGAAAGCTACCTGCTTCAGTCTGGACACCCGGAAATTATCTCAGCCTACTTAAAAACTCAGTAATTCATATGGCACAAATATTTAGGCGCCTCTCTTTACTAATGCTCATGTATTTAAAATAAATCAAAATAGTTTTTTATACATAAAAAAAAACACAACTCTTACTTGATTCAAGCGGTGAAGTTGGAGGCAGTGTCATATCAAGAACTAAACCACTATCACGACTTGTATCATCACAAACACCAATAGAAGATGAACTAGCAATACCGATAGGCATATGATATTGATCCAAAAATTGGTTGAAATCATTTTCTGTTTCATTATTAGTATTATTATTACTATTATTATTAAAAGCATTACTTAAATTCATTGTTGACCATGAACAACTAGGCGAGAAGTATTGTTGCTCCATATTGGAAGATGTCGATTCTACTAAATTATCCCATATGATATCTTGAATACAATAAAAAAACATACAAAATTCAATTTGTTGTAATAAAAAGTGCGATTATTAATTATTATTATTATTAAAAGTAAGAACAATGCACAAAAGAAAAAGTAAACACAGAAATGTGTTATAGAGAGCTAGCTAGCTTGGTCCCAGTGTGTGTGTTTTAGACAACCAACACTGTGTGTGTGTTCGTCATCATATATACTATAACCATGTACTATTATTAATTAATACATTCATAAAGCAAACCTTGAAGTTACTATTTACTGGAAGTGATATAAACTATGACAATGAGAGAGACAAGAGGAAATGGTTAGTATTTTTTTTGTTTGATGCAATCAATCATATGTAAACTGATGACGACGCAAAGTCGGAGAAGCGATAAGATGAACGAGCAGCATAAGTAATAAATAATAAGTAATAAGTATGTAATTACACCTACTGGGTTGTTGTTGTTGTTGTTGTGGTTGCTGTAGTTGTTTACTACGAGTGGCCATCATATTTTGATAAATCCCCGAGAATTGTCCTAACAATACAACAGGCTTGGAAGTAGTCATATCTGGCATAGTCTGTTTCTGACTTGAAGTCGATAGTAAACTAACACCATCACCATCACCAACAGTTGAAAAAGGAATAGTTCTACTCAAATTACCCATAACACAACCACCACCACCACTATGAGAAGGAGGACCACATCGACCTGGATAAGTTGAAATTGAGTCCAAATAGGCAGTAGAAGGTGAAATCAACTCTTTAACATTCATAGGATATTGTCCAATTTCAGAGGACATAGAAGAACTACCGCTACGATGACGACCTTTATTAGTATTATTATTATTATTAGTAGTAGTAGTATCTCGTGTAAAACCACCACCACCACCACCACCACCAGTTGTAGCCATAGAATGAGTTAAAACTACTGAAAAAAAATTACAATAAATAAAATTGAAATTATAGTTAATAGTTAGTAGAAAAATAAAAAAACTTGGAAGTAGTATAAAGGAAAAGGTGAACACACGCATTAAAAATATTAAAACACCCAAAATGGTTGTTAATAGATTCATCATGGAGTTTTTTTTTAATGATATAAATTGTTATCGGTTATTTTTGTTGACAGTCCAGTCAAACACAAAAGTGTAAAAGAAAAAAAAATGAATACAATGAAAAAAAACCCACAAAAGACGATCAAATATGAACGGAGTCATTAGAGTGAACTTATTTAACACACTTATGAAATAATTGAAAACTTCATCACACTAACTAACACAAAGCAGATGTGCTGATGATGACACATTCATTGATCAGAACGACAATGGAAGCTACACAATTAAACCATCCCATCTGAAAGAATACAGTCTTCTCCAACAGTAGACGACTTTGAAGGACACTTTTAAAACATCTACACTCTACAGATGTTAACCCAACTCTTCGAACCGAAGTAAATTCGACGAATGAGGCTCAAAGGCTTGACCTACTTGGTTAAAAGTTAAATACTCTAGCGATTCAACAAATTCATAAAAATGATAATCACTTTTCAGATTATTTATGAAGATGACTACTACTACTACTAGAGTACTGCAACTTAACTAAATAAATATATATACATAAGCAAGTTGATGTATCATCTATCATACATAATCAAGGCACCTATCTCTCTCATCTCTATTATTATTAGGTTTACATTAACAGAAAGAAAAAAAAGAATACTGTTTTTGATGCATATTTATTTTGTGTAAGTAATCATGTGCTAATTAATTCAATGTGATTCACATGTAAGGCAATAAAAATGTACAAACTAATGTCTATGAAGGTCACATTGTAAACAGAAGTAGACCAACTACTACTGAAGGATACATGCACAAATACAATATACAAGGATAAGGAAAATGATTGAAGAATATAATGAATTCGTATATGAATTTCAACCAAATAAAAAGATGAATGATTAGTTGTTAACATGAGTTTTAGTCAGCAATTTTGTTCTTGTATATATACGAACGATATAGAAGGGTAAACAGGATTTTTAATTAGCGTGACGAATAATAAAAACGAGTTAACTAGTTGACTTATCATGATACATAGTTATGCAATATTTTAGTATAGCTCATCATCTATGATAATTCACATTAGTTACATGAGAACAAACTGACTATATCATCATCATCATCACATGATGAAAGGCATACACAAAAATAATGACATATCTTTGTGTTATGTTGAATGAGATTCGTCTTGTTATTAATTCTACTAAATAGACGTTTGTCTTGGTAATTCTATCTTGCTATATTGATGTAGTAGTGTGGTAACCTAAATTGATAAACATTATGTGCCAGGTTCTGGAAGTATGTATAAAAAAGATTGTGTGTCACAAAGGCATGTGTAATGACTTTTTCCCTTATGCCATTATTACTGGGGGGTAGTTATTCTTATAATACAACAAAAGTATTCACTACTATGCTGATAGTAATTTTTCTATAGATTGTAGGTGTATTATTAATTTTTGTCGAGCCCACATGAGATTTGGACTTTTGACGAACTAATTAACTTATTCTTCTATAGTTTTTAATATACTTATTAATTTGCTCATGATGGTATACTATCCGTTTTATACACTACTCACTCCTCATGTATCAGTTTTTGTGACTTACTGCTAACGATAGCCACACAACTTTTTCAGTGATATTTTCGAAAACTGACATTGTCTATAAAAAAACTGTACATCAGTACAATTTTCTACAATGAAGCTTTTGTAGTGTGTACTAACTAACCTGTCAAACGTACATGCCTTGTCTTAGCTATTGGATAATAATGAATTTATTCTGTTCAATTTATTATTCACACGTCTTTTGACCCAGTTAGTTACCAGCTAGCTTTATAGACTTGGTTATCTTGGTTACTTGAACTTGTGCATACACTGATTAGTTCGCAAGTCCTGTGTCCAGCTTATTTTTTTGTCTGACTATAAATACTTAGTCATGTCTTACTCACATTGAGTTAGTTGGCTCAGTCTCTTTCTTAAATTCGCATCGTTTTCCCGCTTCTTATCATCATGTTTGTCTGTGTGAACGACAACTACATGAAATAAACCGATGCAACTCAATTTATATTTGGTTGCTTATTACTGCCGTCGCACAAAACGGGGTTAGCCTAATTGTAATAGACGAAAATAAATGTAAGATTTTTTTTTAAAGCAGATTTAGTTGTTCTTACAAGTTAGAATCACATCACAGGCGACTAAAAGATATATTCAATGGTAGTGGTTAAGTGATTAAGGGGATAGAACTTTTAGTCACTAAATAGTAGAGTTGAAACTTCCTTCACTTCGGTTTGCAAAACCGAGGATCAGTATGAGTCATTAAACTTTATTTATTATTTGTTAATTTATTTACCAATTCGTATAACTAGCTTTGAGCCATATTCTGTGTGAGGAATAGTAACACTATTTATTCAGTTACCTAAAAGTGAAGTAGGTAAGGCAGAATTGGAACCTGCTACTTAGCGGCGCAACTCCGTGAATTTGATCAAGTTAGACATTAACACCGTTAGATACCGGCCCAGTGGTCTAACGGTTAGGGCGTTCGCGCACAATACCGAAGGTCCTGGGTTCGAATCCTGTGGGGCGCAGGAGTCGTGGGTGCACACTGCTGAGGAGTCCCATACCAGGACGAAACGGCCGTCCAGTGTTTCCAGGTTTCTAATGGTGGTCTAACATTGATCGGTTCATGGTTTCAAAAATGTGTAAAAAGGTATAACTAAACTCATGGTTAGAGGACGAAGTCGTACTGCTGACTATTCAGGATTATGATGGCAAAAGAGTGTTACCCCAGACAATTAGCAACTTTAGTAGTGCTACTTTACTTTAAAGTCGGCCTTCAGACTAGAATACTACATACATCCCGTCCCACCAGTTTGATTGCAGATCAGTAAGGTTGGAAAACTAGAGAATCGACACATAAAAAACTACTCACAAAAAGCTACATGATCGGATTCAAACAGTTGTCCCTTGAGCACTATAGTCACATTCTAAGATCATCAAGATCCCTCCTAAACCTGTTCTCTTCTCCAGAGCCTCGAGGAGAAATATTTTTCTACAGTGTTAATAACTGTGAAGTGACGACCCCTCTAATATAATACATCAGTAACCATTCAAGGTTACATCATCGTTATAAATACGCTAAATAAGAACTTATTACCAACACTTTCTTCTGATTTATACTATACATTACATGATGTAATAATCCATGCAAAAGTGAATAAAATTACTCAAATAAAGAATAATTAATTATTGGTGGAAAAAAGTTCCACACAAATGAGAAGTACAAACCAATAATAATAATAATATAAATACGTATTGTAGTTACTGATATTTGACAAAGTATTGATAATTCGTTAATCATTACTACTACTGACCCCCCACCACGATTAATCAACTCATTTTTAATCAAGGTATTAATTAACATATAAACAGTATAAAAAGAAATAATAAGAGTTATATATTCAAAGTCAAATTAAAAATAACCAACTTAAGTTTTGAAAGTTAAAAGAATATTCAAAACGATTTGGCGCTTTGAATTCGAAGTAATACATATCGAAATGTTATAAGGATATTCATCAGATACTGAAGTGGGAGTATAAATTTAAAAAAAAAAACAGCTCTACATAAGAGGAGTTACGTTAGGGTCTCAGACTCTACCATACAGCAAGGAGAGTTAGACATAAAACAAACAGTTGTAGTACGGCAGTGTGTATTATACTCACAACGAAGCTTTTAAGTAGTATGCAGTAGAGTGTTGCTCTGAAGTTATTGCTGAAATGAAGTGTTGTCGGATCAAGACTACAGTACGATTAGGGTGTTTCGAAGAATAGAATGTACGTGGAAGAAGACAGACAGCTAAGAATATGCTCGTTTAGCAAATGGATATTTGAAGATAAGGTGTAGACATTTTGGTTTGTACACTGCGTCTTCTTCAAACAACATATCGCTTAATCCTATCTGTTCTTTCCGTATTCGTCGTTCATCACAATACTACTTCTTAACCCGAAAATGATTATTGACCAGAAATAATAATTAAAATGTTTATTATTAATCATAATATTGAATCTCTTGTGCCACTACTCTCTGAAGTATTTATTCTATGGCATGAAACTTTCTTAAAAATCTTACCTGAGAATAATACCTGGTAATTTTTTATAAAAAATATTAACGAAAAAACAAAATTTCTCCGATCAATAGTTAACAAGTCAACTAACCATTATGATATTGGCCAGGTATAGGACGACTTCGTGAATGTGAAAAGTGAGAACTTTGATTTGGAGAGCAAGTTGAACTAACTGCACTAGGAGACAGTACACCACCGAATGCAGAACATGCTCCAATTCTAGCATCTGAATTTGATGAACCTGGCATTTGAGTAAAATGCTGCCTATCATTACCAGGGTTGGTGACTAAATTGAATGCTGGCCACATACTTGCTGTGCGAGGGGATGTGCAGCGGGCAAGACGACGGCCACGACTACACGATTGATTAGGCGCTGGACCAAGAGGTGATATCATGCTTGACATTAAAGGATTTGTTGGTATATGAGTACATCTTCCAGAACGATCACTAGTATTAACTAGAACAAAATACATAAGAATGATAAATACATCAATATTTATACTCTTAGAGGTGAATCGTGAAAGATGTTTGCTTATCAAGTGACTTGTGTGGCGGCAATGACTGGCAGAAACCTGACAAGTTCAAATTACGGATTCCTAATGGTTACCCTATTTTTAATCAATGCAAGTCCTGATTTATTCCTATCGTAATGAACGAAGGCGTCAAGACCAGACGGAATATAGATACTTGGAGAAAACAGTTGATCTTCAAAATCTATACACTTAATCTTCCAACATCCATTTGCAATATACAAGAAACGTTTTGACTGTCTTCATTCATATGCTTTCTGGTCTTCAATACAATCTGATTGCACCATACATTTCGGGACTATAGATAACCCTGATTAATAAGCAAAACCAAAGCAATATTAGTCTCGCTGGCTAGTATGTATTTGACGTATATTTTCTAACAGACGTTTATACTAGGTATTTACGTAATCACCGAGGAAAGGTTGGAATTTGACAGGTTCTCAACTAGGTATATGCTAAAGATCGAATTTCACCAATTAATAATCACAAACGAAGCAAGACTCAACAAAATAATATAAACATACTTAATAATACAGTTATCATAGAACAAGAATTAAATCGAACAGTAAAATCACTAGCAAGTGAACAAACTACAAAATTAATATCCTCCAAGATCATATGATGCCTTCTAATCCAGTTCATACTTTTGTGCATAAGTATGCTATTTTATCAGATAAACACATGTTCGTTTATATCATTGTCTGTAATCTTAGTATTTTTTTTTCAACAGCTTAGGTGCATAACACTCTATAGTGCTTAGCTACACTATATCATTCCATTTTAACTATCAATTGGAACTTTATTTATCTTTTTTCCAAAACTCAAATTTCTTTCATGAAATCCTCCTTCACATAACAAATATTAAATGAACCACCATACCTTTTCCATACAGTGAAACATACTTCGTTCAATTTTATGTTAAATTGACGACAGCTTAATCTATTTTTACACATAGTAAATATGTTTTCAGACTGGTGCATATATGATCGTGAACATAGTGAGAACGGTATCTCTCTTGAATAAAGTCATCAGAATATGAAAAAAGATTATGAACTGATCTAAGTTAAACAACTATTGAGAATCTGCAAGCAATGGACAGCTGTTTCGTCCTAGTATAGGACTCTTCAGCAGCGCGCATATTCACATGAACACGCAATCGGAAGCGAACTCAAAACCTTTGATCTCGAACCCTTAACCCATAAATGACTAAGCCAGAATCCAACGGTGTACAAAGTTTAAGTTCAATTTGTATGTACAACTATGTATCAATAATAATAATAATAATAATAATAATAATAATAATAATAATAATAATAATAATAGCCAAAAATACAAAGATTATAACCGACTAACTACACTTACCTGATTTATTAAATTCTACTGGGGACGGGAAACTCATCAAATGCTGTTGATGTTGTTGCGGATGATAATGATGATGTTGACTAGAGGTTGTACGTTGCAATATTTGTTGTTGTTGTTGTTGTTGAGGTGATGAAGCAATTATAGATTTCATATTTGAAAAATTTGTATTTAGATTAGACATTAAATTTGGTGGTAAGTTGTTATTGCTATTATTATTATTGTTAGTAGCAGGAATAGTATTAGTATTAGTACTAGTAGTAGTAGTAATAGTAGATGTAGTACTAGTGCCTAAAATGCGTAAATTACTATTAATAGCACTTGATATAGATGGATGAATAAGTGGAGAATAAACAGAATATTGTTGTTGGTTTTGAGTGCCTCCAACACTATGAGGCATTAATGATACATCCGAAGGAATATGACGATGATATTGAATAGAACTAATTGCTGTTGTAGTTATCGCTGTTACTGAATTAGATGATAATGAAATATTATTTGATGATAAACTAATATTATTATTGTTATTATTATTATTATTATTAGATTCTGTAATAAAGCCAGGTTGTTCTTGTTGTACATTTGTAGAAAAATCTCGTCCAATCGACATCTCGGAATCACAATGTGCAAAAGCACAAAAAGGACCACGTGGACAATAACCAGAATTTAATACATCATTGCATTTAGTTGATTTGTATATCTGATAAATACAACGTAAGAAAATAATTGATTAACGCACGCAAAACACATTAAAAGTGATAACTAAGAGTTACATACACTGAAAGACTAAATGGTTCAAGAGATGAAGGCATATGGAACGTTGTAGAACTAGTGGTTGAGACATTCAATTTTCAAGCAGTTAGTTGCGGATTCAGATTATGCTTCACCTACATAGGTTTACTCAACTAACACTTTCAAAACATCCCATATAAAGGCCTTGTAAGTGACCGGGTTCCCAAGAAGTTATCCCCTGGGCTCTGCGGTCACGCTCCCAATGAAATCATCCAACCTTATTTATTTTGCTTAGTTTTTTTTCAAATTTAGTAGTTATCATGTTCAATCTTGATATATATCTATATAAAATGAATAGTTAACAAAATCTCGATGGAAAGCTTATAGACATTTTTTTAGTATGTAAAAATCTAAAACCCACACCAAGTATTTCTATTGGATACTATTTAAAGAGAAATTTGGCAGGCTATCATCACCAACATCAGAGAATTATAACAATACTACTCATCTTGAAGTTATTTATGTCCAGTAGGCTGGAGAAACAATGACATAGAGAGTGTTATCAAAAGCATTTCTAATAAGTAATAGTTAGTAGTTGTTTGGACACGTTTACATTAACCTTAAGTAGTCAGTCAGCAAATGAAATGGAAATCTCAGTATGCAATGAGGAAAAAAAACAAACCATACAAAAGATTCTCATTGTGAAAATTAGAACAACATAGATATAAGCGAATAATATTATTGTTTGCAATTAAATCGTCATCAAGCTTTATACTGTAATACACATGAATATTTATATATGAAAACGTTAAACTAATCAAGGCAGGCAATTTATGAGTCAATCATCACAATGAAATGAAACAGATTAAGTCACTACACATAATAGGTGGAAAAGTACAAGTTGATAGTAAGGAAGACAGTGGTGTACTGATAGTAGTAAGAGAAAAATAAAATACAATAACAAAGTCTTATCAATAGTTCACCATTGGAGATGGTAGGTTTAATGTGGACAAAACATTAAAACCATTACATAATAAGAAGTGTGTACATAATATTTTCATATGAAATATTCCTGTATATTAGAGTAAAGCCTGATGATGATGTAACTGGAAACAATATTGTTCACTTATATCTGTGTTGTTTGTTCTAACAAACCATATTGTCAATGGTACTTAAAGCATAGATAGCTAATTTTAGATTAATGGTTAACTTAAAACATTTTAATGTCATTTGAAAGCTATGAATTATTATCAACACAGAGGCCTATACCACGTACAACAATTATGAAGTTGTAATTTTTATAAATATTCAAGGAAATAGGTTATGAACACAGGTAGTTGAGTTAATCAAATGGGTATTCAAAGGTATGAATAGTGAAAAGAAATGAAATGGAGCAAATAGTGATTTCAAATGTTCAATTGAACACTAGATGATAATCAATCATCTTGGTAAAATCTATTCATCATATGGCTTCTGCAATGTATAGGAGACGGGATTGAACTCCGTTTGGAAATGATGGAGGTATAACGATAGATCGCCTGAAAAGATCTATCTGTTCACAATAATATGATCCTTGAAAAACAAAGCAGCAGTAATCACTTGAATATGTGTACATATGCTCTCCAATGTCAATGGAAATAAAATTGGGTTAAACAGAATTAGCGGTCACAGCTCGGAAGGGGAGTTTAGGGAGGTGTTCATCATGAATGATTACGCATTAGGGAGCCTTTCAATACCATCAAACTACCATACCATACATACTACAAGTCACAAGTTAATAAAGTTGTATCATCTAATTAATTCATCAATCATGAAGTTGATGTAGGGCAGGCAGTATATCGCGTTCCTTACATAAGCAAAACATCAGAATCATCACCACCATCCCCCACCACCATAAACAATACACCCTTAATCACGCCGTCAACACCTAATTGTCTGCATATAGATAGAAATGCTTAGTACAAAATAAAAAAATCAACATAAATAGTAAAAACAAATAACAGTAGAAAAGCATAGGTCGTTTATTTGTACTTTTCAAAAAAAAAATAAAGGAACCACTCGCTATTTAGAAAACGATGAACATTTTTTTTAATCACCTACATAGACATGAATATCACATGTGAGCGCACACGCACACACATATACATATATAAATGCACACTGAGAAAAAAAATCAATCAAACATTAAAGTACAAGGTATAATTAGAAATAAATCAATGTATTTTTATTCATCATATGCTTGATTATTTTCCTATCACGTGTCCTGCATAAGATCACAGTGAATAACTAAATCAGATATTATTATTATTATTTTGTAACAATAGCTTTAATGATATGCACAAAAAGTGCCTGTTGATAAATGAAATATAATAATCTGGCGTTTCCGAGTAAGCAATGTTGTCGTTAGGAAACGAGTACTAGGTAAGGATGGCAAATCAATCGATGAAGTGGTGAAACTTCATCAGTTGAGGTGGTTGGGACATGTGTTACGTATGCCTAACCACCGACTGCCTCGACGAGCTATGTTTTGTGGTGTAGGAATAGGTTGGAAGAAAGCTAGGGGCGGCCAGACCAAAACATGGCAGAAATCCATGAAGTCACTGACAAGTGGACTGAGTCATGTTGGTAGATGTAGACTACCTGGTTGGGGTCCGTGAGACGAAAGTCATCAATGGTTAGAGACCTTGAACGACATGGCTCAAAATCGTTTGCAATGGCGCAAGTGCATCCACTCTTTGAGCTCTCTCAAATCCTAATCTTCTGGATTAGCCAGCACCTCTACCTTTGTCTTTCTAACCTTATCTCACTGAATTATATTTTTTGAATAATATCTTAAACCCTAGTCTTCTTTATTATAACATTAATACCTCTACTATCTTTATCACTATGTGATTTGATTTGACATTTGCGTCTCTGTGCTAATAATGTGGTATGGCAACATGAACTTATGTACATACGTACGAAGTTCTACGTTGCAACTGACTGACTGACTGACTACTTCATCAACTGAGTGTCAGATATTTGTCTCGTCAAAAAAATATATACATATACTCTCTCTATATACTGGAGAAATCTCTTTTAAAATGATACTTTCATCATATATTGAAATCATGAATCAGTCATTGTTAGACCACCATTAGAAATCTGGAAGTACTGGACGGCCGTTTCGTCCTGGTGTGGGACTCATTAGTGGCAGTGCGCATCCACGACTCCTGCAGCTTGCAGGATTCAAACCCAGAACCTTCGGAGGATGATCCGGAATACAATCGAACAGATTTATAAACTTGCATTCAATCATCTATGAGGTTCTAGATGTACACTACTGAAGAGTATTATATTAAGACAAAACAGTTGTTCATCACATTCTGCTTTTCAATAGTTGTTATAGTTAGTCTATGGGTATAAACTATGATATAATGGATGCATCTAAAAACATACATACAAATAATCACAATCAAGAATATGAATCATTTACAATACTTAACACATTGATTAATTTTACAAGAAGTATATGTAACTTGTGAGAAAAAAAATATTTCATAATTTTAAACTCATATTATCATTTCGATTTAATCATTTTTTTTGAATGAATACAAATCTGTCTATTTGATGAAAAGTTTACTTTGAACAACTAAAAAAAAACAACAAAACAGGTGCTTAAAGTTTTTATATAAATCATATGTTTCAATGAGAAATTATAATCTGATTCATTCATCAGGCTATTTATGGTATGATGCAATGAATCAAAAATGTTTAAAACAAATGTATATTACAGGTAGTAAGTAGTATGCTAGTTAGTCTAAAAGTTAATGTCAATGTTATCATTACATTTTAAATAGAGGGAAAGTCTTTGAATATACAACACTGAGAAGTGCGGTTTGAACCTCAGTAAGGATGCACCAGTTTCCTCAACACATATATTACAATGGTAGGGAACAAACACAAAACCGGGTTTCTTTAACCATTTAAAATTATACATACACATAGAAAAAAAATTGATGAACACATTATCAACTTACTTCGGGATGAAATTGTTGTTCCGTTCGTGTATGACAGTAAATACATGCATCGCCAGTATCACAAAGAGTACTATCTTGCCATTCATCACCAGGTCGAACAATAGGACAAGGAGTACTACGATATAAAAATTTATCCGGAGCTCTTCGTTTATCTTTTCCATTGTGATAAAATGGACATGAATAGCCTTGACGACACATCCTCGGTGGTTTCTTGCATAATTCAGTTTTATAACAGGCAAGTACATGGAACATTTCTGAATAAAAGATGTTTTTGGCAGAAACAAGTGATATAATCAAGATGGGTTTTAGAGAAAAGTAAGAATAGTATTGAAGAAACATAATACTAGGGAATCATAAAAACAGATGGAATGAGACAACAGCTATTTAGTGATCCCGGTAATCCAGTTTGTAATGATCGCAGCTGCTGCCTTGATGTGTGGTCGGGCTTACCTACTACTATCTTGATGACCCAACCGAACTATATTGGCTGGGATACACGTTCCTTTAGACCCTATCGTACCAGGAAAGTCGACCGGTATGGCTAGAAGCAGCAACTTAAGGTCTGAAGGCGAAGTCGTTTTGTTGACTGTAGAGGGTATGAGGGCAGTAGTGTGTTTCCCTAGGATAACCAGAATCTGTAGCGATACTGCCTTCTCGCAACGGAAGGAAGGAATTCGAAAAGGTCGACCCTAAAAATGTCACACCTCATCTTACCTGCGATATGTTTAGTTTCATTAGAAAAGCTATCCGATATTAAATGGAACACAAACATATATTTTGGCAAAGACGGTTTTTATGCTACACACTATGGTCATTAAATATCAACCCTTTATAAAACGATAAAAGGTTTTAGAACTTTCAAATTTAACAAAGAAGTTAGGAATAGGATCAACCCCCCATTCATTAAAGATACTTTTCAATTACGCGACAGATCGATTATCAAAGCCTTTTAAAATTAGGAAACCCAAAACTATGGTGACTGTGTTTACTGAGTTCAACTACAAAAAATTTAAACAAGACACGATGTGAATGATCTTTGATTTCTACAACCCAGTTTTGGTTTGATAGTTGACCAATCTTTATTCGAATCGTTATCTACAAGGTTAAATTATGGCAAATGAGACAGTGACAAATTGAGAGTTAAACAATAAAATAAAAACTATCTACAACAAAAGTAACACAATCAAAAGCCACGTCACTTGACAAAAAAAAACTAACTAGATATTAAAATGAAATTACTTGGAAGAATGAAATTTTATTCACGAGACAAAGAAACTGACAAGCAGAACATTTAGGGACAATATGATGCTTAGTAAGTTACTAATTATTAATGTAGGGGACCTAGTATGAGTGCGCATCGGTTTAAGTTGTCACATGTCAACACAGAGAAAAGAAAATCAACGAAGCATAAGATAATCACAAATGCGATGGAAATTTAAATACAAACAGTGAAGAAGGAATACGTGAGTTCAAAGAATAAATATCTAGGAATCATACACAGCTGAAGATTTAGGGGAAAACAGAATGAATGGAACTGGACCTGTGTAAGTGATTTTATGCCATGTCACCCAACGTCTCCAACCAGTAAGTACGACTCCGAATAAATATATTCAACCGCAGGATATACAAATATTTCAAGATAGGGTTGAAACTTATCTATGGAGAAACTGTTTATTATGCTAACGCATGCGTTATTTCAAGTAAATCAAAGTCAGTATACAAAATAATTACCATTCCACTTGGGATCTTCACTCAGTACTCGTTCTTTCTCCAAACTAGCAGGTAAATTAACAGTAAATTTTGAAGAAGCATCCTGGACTTCGCGAATGTCATAAACAGGTAAACGAATATCATCAGGGCCATGTGCAAAAGCACAATGTAGACCGTTCTTAACACATGCTCCATTTTCCATTGTTTCGTATATGCAATTCCCAGTTTTGAAATAGCGTGGATGATAACGTCGTTCTGTATCACCAGCATTGCGGTGCGCATACGGGCATCTACAAGAGAAGATGAAAATGTTTGAAATGACCTAATGAATCGGCTAATAACACCTCAAATTATGGGCAAGTTTAACTTGATTCGTTTTAGAGGTGGGAGTACGGCTACCGTATCCCAGTTCTTTATATACAGGAAAGATACTTAATGAAGTACCTTGAAAAGAAAATGCGTTGAGGGTAGGTTTCATCAAACCGACTGTATAACGATAGACCCCAAAGAACAACTGCACGAGGCCAGCCGTATGACTTCGTGAAAATAAGCCTCGTTGCGTTAGCCCTGAAAATTTTACATCTTACTTCCAGCGGTGGAGACGCGCAGCCTACAACGAAGCGTTCCGTTCTTGAGAGCGACTTTTCCAAATCCCTACTTTTTAGGTCGCGTGAAGCCAGCATTGCTGGGGGAGCTGACTGTCTTAGGGGAACAACCTACTGTCGTTAAACCACTCTTACAGTTGAATCGACGGCTTTTTTGAAGGTGTGGAATTCTCAAATACAACTTAAAAAGGAAAAAAAATCAATATTGACTTAAGGTGAGTAAGGTCGTCTTTGAATGAATTATCTTCGTATTTACTGTTTTTCTTCTTAGTGACAACTTCACAGATGATAACCATCGTAATCAATGCAAAACTAACTTAAGTGAAATCTAATTCTTCGATTCTCTTGTGGTCTTTATCAATATATCTTACTGACAACAATTCACATTTTATTCATCACGCAAGGGATTTCTTTGGAGCATTTTGCATTAGTCTCTTGACGTATCCAGTTAGCATAGATCTTGCTTCGTACTGGAAGAGTGCCCTGATAATTGGCGATCATTCAATTCATAACAGACTGTCTTCGGATATCGAAAGGAGTAACATGTGGAGACTGTTACAAAATCTTATTGAGTGAACAAAACACTTATTTCTGAAGCATAATAATTTCTCATCGAGACGAAAAATTAAATTTCTGATTTTGATAAAAGCTACACTATTTATGAACCAACTAATAAATCATGTTATCTAATATGTTGTTAGGATATGCAAGTGGGCAAACACGTTTGCTCTATAGCATGAAAAAGTACAGGACCGATATATAAGCAGAACTGACGTATTCGTAATGAGTATGTTTACCGTTAGTCTACCAACTAAACGGGACAGTAAGGATTCGGAAAGATAGGGACACTTGCCCTTGCCTTCTTCGTTGTCTCTGGCTACGCTCCCACTGACTGCAGTGCAGACGAGGTAAAAGATAAGTTCTACAGAAACCTTTCAGACCTCCTCCAAAAATTTAGGCACTCTGATATAGTAATAATGACTGGTGACTTCAATGCTTAAGTGGAAAGGAAAGACACCTGGGTGGACCTTATGGTGCCTCAGCTGATCGAACAGATAATGGTGACCGTCTGCTGCAGCTATGATCAGAGAACCACCCATTTTTAGCAAATACTAACGTTAAGCTCAAGGAAAAGCATCTTTTGAAATGGCGACCCCAAAAGTCGTCCCAACGTTGGACCCAACTAAATTATATAGCTATCAGCCACTGATGGAGGGGTTCGACAGAAGACTACAGCTTGTTTTGGGGCATATGTCTAGATTCAGATCATGCTCTAGTGCGAGCGCGTATTTGTTTGAGGCTTACTGGACGTAGGAAGGACACCGCAAGGAAGCTTCTCATGGTTCTATTTAATGGTACAACTATCAAAACAGTTAGGAGACCATATTAGTGATTCCCATCCCTAGGCAGCCTGAAACGACATCCAAAAAGCGGCGGAAACAGCAATGATATCTACTAATAAGGTAAACCATAAGGTTAGGGATAAGCTGTTGATTTTAGCAGCATCTGTCGAACTGATAGATGCACGAGGAGCGAAGTCAGCTTAAGCGCAGGCTGATAATAAAAGCCTACGCAATGATCGCGAACAGTGGTGGGTAGTGAAAACAAGAGCGGTGGAAATGGCAGCGGTGATAGGTAACAGTAAACAACTGTTCCGCCTTATCAAAGAAGTTGGTACTAGGAATCCATCTGTTAGCGAAACTATCTCAGAAAAATATGGTCTTATCATTCATTCTCAACTCAGGGATCAGTTCAACTGGCCTTCAGCCACAATTCGGTTACCCACGATCTCCAGTCATCCTGAATGGCAAATCGATTTCAGTCCTCCAAGTCTTTATGAAGTTGAAAGAGCTATAGGAAATCTGAAGCGAGGGAGGGCTGCAGTTCCTGACAGGCTTACCCCTGAGATCCTTAAGGACGGTGGTCCAGTTTTAGCAGTAAGATTGACTGAGATCTTAGGATGAATTTGGGAACTGGACATAATCGCATATGACTGGTCTCAATCACTAATTGTCCCAATCTATACGACAGGAAGAAAGTCCTCTTGTGACAATCACAAAGGAATTAGATTCAATAAATGTCTAAAATATTAGCTTCAATAATACTTTGACGCCCAACTAGGGATCGTGAAGGGCAGATTGCAGAAAACCGGGCTGGTTTCCGACCTGGACGTGGATGTAGACCAAATATTCACTATTCGATAGGTTCTGGAACATAGACACACATTTCGACGTCCTACCACAGTTGTATTCCTTGACCTTAGAGCGACATTTGACACTGTCGATCGTGAGGTTCAGTGGCGGTGTCTGTTATTAAAAGGTGTAATGAAGAAGTACAATAACCTTATACAAGCTCTCTACTCAAACACCACTGGTTGAGTGAGAGCTTATAGCGAACTTTCATCGGAATACATTACTTCAAGTGGTCTCCGTTAGGGCTGTCCCCTCTCCATTATTGTTTTATATTGTCATTGACGTGCTTTTGGGCACGACACCTGCATCATCTGACTTTTCAGCAGTTGGACTTTCACCAGGAGATTCGCTCGTTGACTTAGAGTATGCTGATGACATAGTTATATTTGGTGAAGATGCTGACAAAATGCTGAGTCTTCTGACTACCCTAAGCAATAATGCAAGCATGTTTGGGATACGGTTTTCCCTCCCCCTCGAAATGCAAGATGTTGCATTGAGATTGGCTTGCATCGACACCTGAACTAGTGATAGGGAGTCAGGCAGTTGGACATGTCGACCGCTTCACTTATCTTGGGAGTCTCATCAGTGCTGATGGTCTGGAGACTGAAGAAATCTCAGCACGGATGCAGAAGGCTCGATTGGTTTTTGCCAACTTGCGTTACTTATGGCGTAGGCGAGATATCCGTTTACTAACCAAAGGTTGAGTCTACTGTGCAGTAATTAGCTCCGTTCTATTATATGGATGCGAAACATGGCCAGTCAGAGTAGACGATATTCGTAAGTTACTGGTATTCGAAGCATTGCTTGTGTATCTTGGGACAACAGAGTAAGTAATGCTACAGTTAGAAAACGAGTACTAGGTAGGAATAGCAAACCAGTAGATGAAGTATTGAAACGTCATCAGTTGAGGTGGTTGGAACATGTGTTACGTATGCCTAACAACCGACTGCCTCGTCAAGCTTTGTTTTGCGATGTAGGAATAGGTTGGACGAAAGCTAGGGGCGGCCAGACCAAAACATGGCACAAATCCGTCATGTCACTGACGAGTGAACTGTACCATGTTGGTAGATGCAGACTACCTGAGATATTTTCTCACCGTCTCTCAGTTGTGTTTAGGAAGCCTTCATTAACTATCATCCTAAACTTATGTTAAGTAACACGCTTATGGCTAAATGTTCTAAACAAGGCACTATTCAGCTACATCTCGACTTTTAAGGTCTTAAGATATAACCATGCACCTGAATCCATGTTGATGCACACATAATACAAAGTGAAACATAAACCAAAAGGATTATGAAACTGTATATGAAATAGCTTAAATTTTTTATACTGAACGTTAGAATGGACATTTACAACATTACGTCATACCAATAAAGTAGAGAAGCAGTACATTCATCAAATCATTTGGCTCAGAGTTCAATATACATTAAAAAATATTACGAGAATAATAGCGGTGAGGCGATTCATGAGCAAAACAGTAACTTGATAATTTCGAGCTCATCTTGTCATACAAGAACGAAACCTAGGTTTGGAGCTGCAGCAAATCTAAAAAAACTTGAGTGCTACAAATAACATTCCTATATATGTATCTAAATGAATTTGAAATAAGCTATCCAAGAATGCAAACACCTGAGAAACGTGGCTTTGCCATCTATGATGACCAACTAACTAATGTAACCCTATACTAGTTATTAATTGTCATCTGGGGAACCACTTGAATTCTACATAATCCCTGCCGAAGTAATATCAAGGTGATATAACCCAAATAGTAGCAAGGGTGAAACACTAGGTTATAGACATATCAGTAATAAAAGAAGGATGATGTAACTTGTGTATGAAGATCTCATTACTACGAAAAGATAGTTTACAAGATCGTTAAATAGATCACAAGAAATAGAGTCAAGGATTATACTACAAAAAATCTAAATACATAGATTATTGTGACTTACTCATCTCCATCAGCACATGACCCACTTGTTTCATCATATTTATCACAGTATACATCCGGATTGTAATTAAAAGTTCCATCAGGCCTCTTAAAGGGGCGCCTCCGTTTCTGGTTTGGAAAATGCCAATGAAAGCATGTATAAGGACGATGAAACTGACACTGTTGCTCGATAAACAGGAGGCATTGTTGCGTACGAAATTCGTTTAAATATCTAAACATTAAAGAAATCAATTCCCAGATTTACTTTAGGTGCCTAGGCTTTTCTTGACGCATAGTATAAGTTTTAGACGAGAGAAGAAACTGAATGGCGTCATTATTTGTAACCATTATCATGATACTTTAACTGCCACCTTTGGAAATCATTTCCCAAAAGCCCATCTAAGCGATTGTTAGCTCTGCTACGACCTTGAGTCGTGGCGTTGAGAAAGCTAACGGACACCGAATATTGAATGGCCGTGGCAATGGAAGTCAAGGTCATCAAGATGTTAAAAACTTTTTTCCCACTTATTCTTATTAGAATGATTACTTTCGTATGTTTTTCAAAGGAAAAAATTATTTAAGCGAAACAGAATCCAGAATCAGGCACTTTTTCACACATTTTGCGAACTTTCTACGATTCACAAAATCGCATCAGTATCAAACCAGGGTAATCGGTAAATTTATCTGTTCAGTCCAGAAACGCCGTTTTCTGTGGTATTCTTTCATTTTTTGAGTCAAAACGTTGTCTCAGACAGTTGGAAACCCAGGAATAGGGCATAACACTAATTTTCGAAGGAGAGACGCAATGACCCGATGAACTACTAAATGATAGCGCTTATTAAACTACATGATTTCAGATAAGGCCGCTTCTACATTTCTAACTTGCTGACTGCGGTGAGCAGATTTATTCTTGATCTCAAAGAAAAGGTTGATGTGATATGCCTTTTATTCTCAAGTGCTCTTGATGGAGTTAATCATATACGTCTCATCAATAGGTCTGGACTTTTAAGTATCTAAATAATGGACTCCGAAGGCCAGGATGAACCTGAATCTGTTTCGAGCAACGAAATGTCCTAATATGAACCCCTGGTACTTAGCGCAAAGTAGTTCACTCGAGACAACCTCTCCTTTTGAGGTGTTCCAAGGTGAAGTAGATTTAGGAGTCTTGGCACGTTATCACCTATTTTTACTCTAAATTTAACAAAAATGCCATTCAAGCAAACCATACGCTTGGTAAATCTGAAGCTCATTTTTGGCTAGCTTGATAGTATAACGTTCTACAGACTGTTTAACAGCTTTGTTCGGTCCATAATATAACAGGATGGATTACTGTTCTTTAAATTCACAGCTGTCTGAGTAGGTTCAAGTGACTTCACAGGAGTTCTTCAAAAGGAAGCTTACCATATTCTAAGAAAAACAGTGCAGAATCTCATTGTAATTTACTAATACTTCTCATTTGCTTTTTAACCATTTCTAGGTTCCCAGAAGAAGGCATCAGCGATTCTCTGTAACTAGATGCAGAAGCCCGCTAAGCTTCGATTGTTTCGTCCACAGCCATTTAAGTTTTCTGAATATCTATATTTGGCTGTTAATTCGAAACAACTTGACTTTCTTGTATTTCCGACTTACTTCTTAACCAACGTTCCATGTCTTTTTGAACTTAACTGAAGTAATCCTGTCGGTTCTATTAGGTAGTTAAGTTTATTTCGATAGTGGTTTGTTCTCGGTGATGTAATTGCTCAGGTAATCAGCTGCTACAACTTCGGACATTGCCCTAAACTTATATCACCCCGTTAGAATGAAAAGAAAGGAAGTAAAGGGTGGAAAACTCAATTACTGCGAGTAACAAAACAAGTGAATCAATGTGACTCGCATTAAAATAGCCAACCCAAGTGACAGATTAGGAAGAAAACGAATGAATGCTACACCATATTCTTTTATGCGCTAGATTATTTTTCTAGCCCATAGAGGCAGTCTGATAACAAGTACTTTATCGACTGGCTTTCTCTTGAAGTCCTGTTTTCACGAGACTGCAACTGCGTTGACTTGGAGAGTGATGGAAATGATAGCAAACTGCAAATGCAAGAACTGGGATCACAATCAAGTTCTTCACCTTTTGCTTGTAACCTTGTGATATTTTCTTATTGTATCGCCCAAAGATATGTTTACTTCCCAAGCCCAGCACACACAGAATGATCACCTAGTAACCGCTTACAGTAAGTCCATACGTAACCCTAACGAATATAGTCCTTACATCAATCATAGTTTCAAGAGTAGTCAAAGTGAACTTTACGATTTTTCGCATATGAATACTTGATCAGTGTTTCAGAAAATCCTGACCTCAAGATTATAAAATAAAGTAAAGTAAAGTAATAAAGTAATTAAACATATATCACCAGGTATGTTAAAGACTTTAGAATAAGCAGAGAATCATTGTACCCAACAGTTCAAGCCAAAGTCTGTTAAAAAAATTTATTACAAGAGTATAGATTGTCCCACGCTTAGTGTGCAGCATGATGGTTACTTGAAGTGCAAACTGAATCCCTTATCCTAATTTTATTCAGTCTAGTAGTATCATGGAAGCTAAAAACTTCACTAATAGTCAGTAATAACTTAAGCGCATTCCAATATTTAACAAGTTTTGAATTATTCCTAACGGGACTGTAGTTAAAAGTCGAATCACTGAAGAATTTCAGACCAAGCAGCTTAATCCAGTAGTAACAGGCGAAATCATGACCACTACGCAAATCCGGTAGTATCAGCCCCTACCCCCTAAAGAAAACAGATGGACTGTGGTTACTGTTTCAAACATCAGAACCATTAGTGAAATAGCTGCGACCATTCCTCCCTGGCCCAAACTTTCAGTGACTTCCAAATCTCATGTCACTTACACCACAATAATAAACCAGAGTTGCCTTAGCGGCACCGGTAAAAACCTTTCGACTCAGCATAGCAGAAATTCAACTCCTCCTCCTACTACTACTAGCAACAGATGTTTGCTCACAGTAGTACAAAATTATATTGAATCGTTTGAAAGAACATAGAAACATCTCAGTTACTTTAACTTTGAACAAAATAACTTTTCACTTATTTCATCGGCTTGTTTTTATCCGAATTCTACCTCCCTACACCAACTGAAACCGTCAACAGAAGCGAAGTCACGTACAGAAGCGGAAAAAATAATAATTTTATCATATATAAAGAGCATATCGGAAATCACAGCACGATTACTGAAACACACACAAACCAAGGGAATCACTTCCATCAATCGTACTTACACCAAACGACAAAATGATAAGAGATGAAAAACCTAACGTCATTTACATAATAAACTGTTCAGAATGTGAACAAAGTGAACATCCTCTTCATAAACATTAATTAGACATCAAAAGGCGTGACGTTTCTTTGAAAATTTCCACTCGTATCTTATCTGTGATATTCATGTTTGAAAACATAAGTGAGCAGTATCCACGAGAGCGCCTTATACACATCTTAAAGAGTGTAAGCTTAGCCTTATTTGTTGAGAAGTAGGTGTTGTATTACCGCCTACTTTATTACTTTCCCCATCACCCTAGATATTACTGAGGTCATATTCATGGGTCGGTTAGCTCCAGAATTTTCTGTAGGTCCTGAATTAGTTGTGGGGATGATATTTGTAGTCTTCCAGGTATTAGGGTAACACGCTGTAGAGAGTGATATGGTAAATAGTTTAAGAAGTATGACACACATATCATTGCTTCCATTTTTCAGCATGCTAGCTGGGACACTATCTGGTCCTTCAATGCAAGAGTATTTCAGTGCACTTCCCGCCTTAGAAATATTCCATACACTGAACTCTACACCGGTGATTTCACAGGAAGGTATTAGGATTGGTTTTTATTTAATTAGTGGGCTTTCGTTTGTTAGTGAAGCACAAAAGTGGTTGCTAAACAACTGTGTGATCTGCTTAGAGTTTTCGTACACTTGGTTGTTTTTTATAAATACGCTCTCTCCTTTTACTGTAGAGCACTTAAGTTCATTTCGAGGGATTTTAACAAGTGCAGAAGATTCATTATTCAGTTCGACGGCATATTTTTCCTACAGGATGGTCTTTTTTGTATTTATTACCTCCACCGCATCAAATATTTCTGTCATCGGAACTAAGGAGGAGAAGTCATTGATGTTATGACGTCTGGTGGCGTCCTCCAAGACCTTTTTGTATATGATCTGGAATATTTAAATTCCTAGAAATCTTGGGTCCACAGAGTCCGATTTGGTTGATATTACTGGTGCTGTGATAAAATATGTTTGTTAGTTCTTCTGTAGTATTTACAGTGAAGAAGGTGGTCCAGTAAATGCTTCCGGGATAACTTTAGAAGTTTGTCGAGTCAATCTTACGATAGTTCGCACGAAGTGTGGTGGTTTTACGTCTTTTAATCGTTGCTTTTATATGAAGACTGCATATGATACTACTATCATCTCTACCTAGGAACGTTTCCCCATAATATACGCTAATGGGGATGAGGTTGATAGAGAAAACTAAATTTAAAATATTGTGATGTCTGGTAGGGCTTTCAGCATATTGCGTCCACTGTTCAAGCTCTAAGCATTCAATAAATGATTCAAAGCCTTCCACTGCTTCGGTTGGGAATCGAGAGACTTTACGCATGCTGATTGTAGAATCCACAGTAGATTCGGATTTCTGACAAACAGTTCTAGAAGTTTAGATACGCGCCTTGCCCAGTTAATCCAAAAAGAAAGCAATTTATCTGGGTAAAAAACGGTCCTATTATTAAAAAGGGAAATAGAGATAATTAACTTAACAATATTACAATGTTTTCCTTCCAAAATAACACAATGTATTTCTAATTCTGGAAGAATGCTTCCGTCACAATCCAATATGCAACCTTCTAGCCCAGATGCACATGTTACCAGCTAAGGTATCCAATCCGATATGACTGTAGCCATAATTAAGTATCAACTTAAACAACATAATACAGTTCAGTAGGAAACAGAAAGTCAAATAAAGGTACAAAAAATAGAAACCATAACAAAATACAAATATTGACATCCCAAATTAGGATTAAACAGACCACGAAAATTTAGCACAGAAAGAGTCGGTAAGAACGTATTACAAATATATACGTGGAGGGAATTTCCCAACCAAAGCCTTCAAAATGATTCTACACTAAAGTCTCCACAAATAACCTTGTCTTAACATTTTGATCTTGCCTTTAAATTGGCATGCATCTTGTAACATGTTGTTATTTGAAAGTAAATTATTGTTACCATTGTAAACTTCAGGGATGAAGCAAACATATTGCTAGTATCGCTAGGCTGACGGTAAACACAACCGAAAAGTAAGGAAACTGAACTTGAGGGTAAATAAACTTGTAGTTTCTTTAATTTTGGCACATCATATAAGAATGGGTTTAGGTTAGATTTAGCATACATGAGGCATCTATCACCTCGTAC